ACTCAAATTCAACATTAGAAACTACCAGGCTGAGGGCTGACAAGATAGCTCAGTGGATTACGCACCTACTTAGGCAAGCGCAGGGACCAAGCTTTGATCCCTGATAGACTGGGCATGGTGGCACCCATCTATAGTCCCGGCACTGGGGAGGCTGAATTCAGGAGAATAACTATGAGCTGCATAGTGAGACCTTGTACCAAATACAAAAAATAAAATAAACTACCGGGCTGGGGATATAGTTCAGTGACACAGTACCTGCCTGGCAAACACAAGGTGCTGAGTTCGATTCCTAGTACCAAAAAAGAAAGAAAGAGGGGCCCAGGGAGATAGCTCAGTAGAATAAGTGCTTGCCTGACAAGTGCAGGGTCCTGAGTTCAATCCCTGGTACCGAAAAAAAGAAGAAAGAAAGAAAGAAAGAAAGAAAGAAAGAAAGAAAGAAAGAAAAGAACAAACCATGTCCTGATTTCCTAAATACAATACAGAAAAGTTTTCCCCCAGAATTGGATCAGATTGCCTCAGTTGAGGCCTTGATGTAGGACCATGTTGTGTACACACACACACACACATCTGGCAGTGGCAAAGTTTATCTAAAGTAAAAGTGCAGAGTGAGGGAGAAACTGGCTCTAGCTGACAAGTCTGGGCTGAGTAAAGGAGGAAAGAAGATAAAGTGATAAAGTACACCCTGGAGGAAACAAGGCAGGCTATTTTGAGGGAAGTCACACAGAGTACTTTGTCTTTTCTTAAAATATCTACATTCAAATGTCTATGAGAACCAAGACAGATTAGAAAGCTCCTGTCTCTGGCTTACCACACGTTCTCCAGGTATACACTCAAGTGGAATAAAAGTAGCCGGAAGAATTTCTCATACTAGTTCATTGATTTTTCTCATATTCATTTCCTGGCCAAACGTGTTGAATTTGCCTTCAGTAAACAGTGCTGGGTTCCCTTCCGCAAAACTTTCCAACTCTTTGCTGCAAGGGCTCATGGGATTTTCATGCCCAGTTCACTCCTTTCTTTGGACACCGCAGTGAGTGCACAGGGAAGCTGTGTCCTCTCAAGAATCGGCAGCCTTGGGCTGGTGAGATGGCCCAGTGGTCTAAAGCACCTACTTAGAACAAGCCAGGGACTGCGGTTCAATCCCCCAGCACCACATGCCAGCCAGCCCCGCCCCCTGGTGGGCTGAGCTGGCCACACACACACACATAAATAAATAAAAATATAAATAAATAAATAAAAAGAATCGGCAGCCTCAGTTACCAGTCAGATGAGCAACCTCTGCCCCCACCACCCCCAAATCCAGGATTGAACTCAGGCCCTTGCGCTTGCCAGGGAAGTGCTTATTCTACTGAGCCATCTCCCCAGGTTGAGAATCAACAAATGATCTCTATAAAAGACCGGTAAAGAGTTTAGGCTTTTCTGGCCACTTGTTCTGCTTTGTTTGATCTGGATTTGGCTGGTGGCTTTTGTTTTCCTTTTTTTATTTTTTTATTTCTTAAGGAAGGGTCTACAGGGTGTTTGTTCACTACTATATCAGACTCATAGTGATCCACCTGTTTACAGCCTCCCAAGAGCTGGGGTTACAGGCATGCACCACCACGCCCAGTCTCAATTGCCATCTCAGCACTGAAAGGTCCAGGGATCGAGCCCCCAGCCCCTGCACCTGCTTGCAGGTGCTTTAACCCACTGAGCTATTTGGCCAGCTCTTGTTTTCCTTTTCATTTTGCCATGTCCCAAGTATGAGGAGCATAGCACTGAGTTAAACCAAGATCTCTCCCTTCTCAGAATTTAACATTTTTAGAACAAGGGAGAAATGTCATAAACACTACAAATAAGTTAGTTCATGCAGAGGACAATTTTATGAAGAAAATGAAAGCATTATTCAGCAGGAAGATCAGGAAGGGTTCTTTGTGAGTTGTGTTCTTGCGGGTGAAGAAACAAGCCAGCCACATGCAGAGCCCTAGGGGGCGCTCTAGGCAGCAGGGGTAGTGAGGACCCACGCTGAACTCGAACTAGTCAGCTGACACTGTAAAAAATGCCTGAGAGGGGCCGGGTAGAATAAGTGCTTCCCAGGCAAGTGCAAGGGCCTGAGTTCAGTCCCCAGTTCCACAAAACAAACAAACAAACAAACAAACAAACAAAACTGAGAGGGGCTGGTGAGATAACTCAGTGGTCTAAAGTGCCTGCTTAGGCAAGCTTAGGCAAGCGTGCAGGGACCTGGTTTCGATCCCCAGCACCACAGGCCATGCCAGCCCCACACCCAGGGTGGGCTGAGCTGACCATAAAAAAGAAAAAAATAAAGGAAACATTAAAAAAAAACAAACAAAACACTGAGATAATCAGTGTAGAACCACAGCCGGGCATGCTGGCTTGTGCCCGCAATGCCAGTACTTGGGGGCTGAGCGAGGAAGGTCGCCATGAGGCCAAGGCCAGTCTGAACTACACGGTGAGACCTGGGCTCAAACAAAACACCAGGAAGAGCCAGGATGCCCAGGTGGCTGGAACACAGTGAGAGCAGATAAAATAGTAGGTAAAGGATTTAGTGAGGGACAGAGAGGCCATAGTGGGGACTGGGCTTTCCGGTAGGATGAGAAGTCACTGGAGTTCTTTGGGAGGGATGATCTAGTTGATATTTTTAAAAAAGACTTCGCTGTCTGTTAAAAATAACTTAAGCCAGGCATGGTGGCACACAACTGTAATCCCAGCACTTGGGAGGCTGAGGCAGGAGGATTGTTGTGAGTTTGAGACCAGCCTGGGCTACACAGTGAGCTCAAGGCCAACATGCACCCATAGTGAGACCCTGCCTCAAAAGACATAATTAATTAATTAATTAAGAAATCCCTCTGCCACTGGAGTTAATTTGTCAGATTGAAGAGGGGTCCAAGGTCGACAGAGTCCAGTTAGGAGGGTGAAAACTCCAGATGAGGGGCAGTGGTGTTGGGCCCAGGTGGAAATCCTTGAACAGCCATGGAAGTCTCGAGTCTATGTGGCTAGAAGCCGGGGGAAACTTTAACATCCAACCAAAAACTGGAGACACCCAGTGTCTGTGGATCAGAGGGTCTATACCAAACTACTGTCCCGGGAGGAACTGTGGGCAGCCTGGCTCGTGACAGCGCAGAAGCTGGGCATTGGCATTGGCTTCTCCAGTAGCCTGTCTTTTTTTTTGGTATCAGGAATTGAACTCAGGACATTGCACTTGACAAGCAGGTGCTGTACCCCTATGCTATATCCCTGGCTCTCATTTTTACACTGAGCCTCGGGTTTATCAGGAGCCAGAGATACCGCAGTGACTAAAACATGGTCCTTTCCACAAGCATTTCATGGTTTTGGGGAAAATGATACAAACATGAAAGCAAATTCACTATATTAGCTGCTCTCAAGAGCTCGCTGTGCAAGTGACTTTGAGTCTCTTTGACTGTGGAGCCATATGCTCTCACCGAGGACTCGTCTGGGTGGACACCAGACTGTTGCGGTTGCTGTATGTCTGGAGTCAGTGTGGACAGAGCCCAGACTCACCCCTCACAAAACCTCCCTTAGCTGCCCTTGAACTCTGGGACACCCCCCCCCCCGAGCTGCCCACAATGCAGTGTGAAGACTAAGAATGTCAAGCCTCTGCTAAGAATTCTGTCTCTGTCTCTCTGTCTGTGTGTCTGTCTGTCCCTTGAGGCAGGTTCTTGTTACATGGTTAGGTTGGCCTTCAACTCACTATGTAGCCCAGGCTAGTCTCAAACTTGCAACTATCCTCCTGTCCCGGCCTCCCAAGTTCTAGGATTACAGGCATGTGCCACCATGTCTGGCTGAGCTAAAAATTTTAGAGAGCGTCCAGAGGGAAGGGCAGTAGCAAGAGCAGGCGAGGTGAGATGCTCAGGAGAGATTGCTGGAGGCGTGGGAAGCCTGCCCGGCAGGTTTGAGAAGGCTTTACCTCACCAGCAGGGCAGCAGTGTAATGAACAGGGGTTGGGGGTCTTTCAGGAGAGTCTCACATCTTTCTTTCCTGGACACAGGACAGAGGTGTTCCGGGAGGACCGGGGGGCCCGGCCAGATGCCACGAAAGTGCTCATCATCATCACGGATGGGGAGGCCACCGACATTGGCAACATTGACAAGGCCAAAGACATCATCCGCTACATTATCGGGGTGAGGGCTGCCTCTTAATGTCCCATCTTCCCTCTCCTCCTGGGCCCCTGTTCTCTTCTCTTCGGGCCAAAGTCTTATGAAAATAATCGAAAACTGGTCTGAGATTTGGGAGACACCAGCTTTTCACTGCACTCCCTTCCAGATTGGAAAACATTTCAAGAACCCACAAAGTCAGAAGGAACTCCATCAATTTGCCTCCCAACCCACAGAGGACTTCGTAAAGATCCTGGACACATTTGAGAAGCTCAAAGATCTGTTCAATGAGCTGGAAAAGAAGATCTACGTCATCGAGGGTGAGTGGCAGCGGGCGGAGGGCTGCGAACATGTTCAAACCGCACGAGGGACTGGAGACAAGCACCGGGTGTCTGGCACTAAGAGCTCTCCTCAAAGGGAAAAGCAGAACCAACCCCAATCTTTTTTTTTTTTTTTTTTTTGGTGGCACCGGAGATTGAACTCAGGCCCTTATGCTTGCCAGGGAAGCGCTTATTCTACTGAGCCATCTCCCCGGCCCACCAAACCCAATCTTAACTAAAAATCCCAGAGCCGGTGACATGGGGCAGGCTTAGATGTGCTCTTTCTCTCTGCTGCTTCGAAGCACCGTGTCTTGCTCGTGTCTCCTCAGCCCCGCAGGATGATTCCAATCGCTTTCTCTTCTTGCCTGATCTCTCCCCTTTTCACTAAGGTGAGGCCGGTGAGAAGGCGGGTTAGGAGAAGCGTTTCCTCAGGCAGCCGAGCCTGATGCAAGGGCGGCAGCTCCCGCCCGCCCGCCCGCAGGGAGGTCCCCTCGACCAGGACTCGAGCTCTGTATGACGTCTACAGCAGGAACCTAACAGGCCTGCTCAGGAAGCCGCTCAGCCTTGCTGTGTGGGCTCAACCACACATCGTTCTTCTGTTAAGTAAGAACAATGCCAGCCTCATAGGGATGGAAGGTTTAACTGCTGTGTTAGTTCCGGGGAGCTGCTCTGAAAATGCCGCTGACCAGGTAGCTCAAAGCAACTGCAGCTCCGCATGGTGGCGCTCGCCTGTAATCCCAGCACCGGGGAGGCTGAGGCAGGAGGATCCCTGTGAGTCCGAGGCCAGCCTGGGCTGCAAAGTGAGACTCTGCCTCAAAACAACAACAAAAAAAAACCACACACACACACACACACACACACACACACACAGAAACCCAGCCTGATAAAGTTGTAGCTTCTCTGTAGGTAACAGCTCTTGTCACTGCCAGCCCTCATCCTCTTGATTTGTCCCCGTCCTCCCACTCTTGCTGTGAATGTCACTTCCGATTCAATCCTCACTGCCAGCCCTGTGCTGTGCTGAGAGCCCCCATGGGTAATCGCGTGCTGCTGTAGCCGTTGTCACAGCCCCGATGCTGACTCGGATGCTAATTTATCTTTTTTTTTTTAAGATTTATTTATTTTTTATTTTTTTTCAAAGTTTTATTGATAAACAGATAGCAATGAGACAGTTTCAAATCAAATCGGAAGTACAGTTTCAACAAATAACACACTGCATATATTCTTCTTAGTGGTTAATTGCTGTACAAGATGCGGACTTGATATCCTATTTACAAACACCATTAGAACAAATCATTCTATTCACTAAGAGAATGCAACTATATATCTATCCCAACCTCCTTAAATACACAGATACAAAATGGACATTCATCGGTATACCCCATTTGTCCAAAGTCCGTTATTGAATATTATAGGTGTGTAAACTCAGCACAATATTCTAAAAGAGTCCAGTAGCCCATAATAGCATTGGGTCTTCTGTTTAACTGGCAATGTCAGAAATTATTGACCAGAGTCCCCCACAGCTCAACACAACAGCATGGCTCTATTTCTTTCGGATGCTAATTTATCCTTCACTGTCTCCACACTGAGGGCTCTGGTCTGTCATGGCAAGCATTGTGCCAGCTCTTTCACCTTTTATATCCCTGGGGATAGACATATAATTACTCTAAAATTTATTCAATGAATGAATGAGTTATCACTATATTTGCTATGTGTTTGTGTTTTGTTTTGTTTTTTTCTTTTTTCAGAACCAGGGATTGAACTCAGGCCCTTGCACTTGCCAGAGAAGTGTTTATTCCACTGAGCCATCTCTCCAGCCCATATATTTGCTATGTTCTTAAACACTTTTGTAAGGCTAGCTCTATTCTTTCTTCTTTTCTCTTAGGGGGTCGGGGACTGATACAGGGAATTGACCCAGGGCCTTCACAATGAATCACATCCTCAGCCTTTTTTTTTTTTTTTTTATCCTCAGTCTTTTTAAAAAATTTGAGGGGCCAGGAGTATAGCTCAGTGGCACAGCGCCTGCCTGGCAAGTACAAGGTTCTCAGTTTGATTCCTGGTACAAAATAAAGAGAGATTGTCTCACTCGTTGCTAAGGTTGACCTCAAATTTGTGATCCTCTTGCCCTAGCCTCCCAGAGTGCTGGGATTACAGGATTCTACCACCATGTCTAGCTTCTGTTTTACTTATTTATTTATTTTTGTGGAACCTGGGATTGATCTCAGGCCCTTGCACTTGCCAGATTACTTACTGATTCGTTCCTTCAGTAGCTGCAAATCGGGCTATGTGAATAAGATCCTCAAGCATGTTACAAACTAGAGCTTGTGCTCACGTTGGATAAGGGCAGAGGTCACTAGAGGTTATAACACAAGTCATACAGAGAACAAACAGAAGGAAGAGATGGGATTGGGAACCGGAAGCTGGGCGGAGGTGTAGCTCAGTGTAGTGATGGAGGCTACTTTTAATAGGCTTGTGGAGGAAGGCCTTTTCTGAATGAGCCTTTTAATTTTATTGTTGTTTTTGTGTTTGTTGCTGGGGCTCAAATGCAGGGCCTCATGCATGATAGGCTGCTGAGCTGGCTATATTGGTTTTTTTGGCAGAACTGGGGATTGAACTCAGGCCCTTCTGCTTGACAGGGAAGAGCTTATTCTACTGAGCCATCTCCCCAGCCCCCAGACAACACTTTAAAACTTGAGACAAAATACATGCTGAAATGACGTTTGAGTTGAGACGTGAAAGATAAGAATCAAAGAGCATGGTGGAGGGGGCGACAGGAGAGCATCCCTCAGGGACACAGGGGCTCATGGGAAAGCTGGGAGGGGAGAGAGGGCCTGGCATATTGGTGGCGGTGGTGGTGGCGGTGTTGGTGTTGGTGATGGAGATGGTGAGGGTGGCTTGGACCTGTGTGGCGGTGGCTCATTATTCAGACAAGGGGACAGGTGTCTCTTGAAGATAGAACCGTAAGGATTTAGTAATGTGTTACGCATAGGACAGAGGGGCAGAGGTTCTTTCCTGGTTTTTAGCTTGATTCCTTAGGGGGTGTGAGGGTGCTTTTTGTGAAAGTTGGGACCAAGCAG